CTAAGATAAGAAGTTGCCTTCAGTTGGAGGGTGGATTGGAGGATCATCCTCAATGGGAGGATAGATTAAAGATGAGTAAATTAAAAAAATTGGTAAAGTTAATAAATGAGGTATTAGTATTCAGTAAAGAAAAAGACAAAGGTATATAAAATAAAAAATGTTTACATTTATATGGGGTAGGTTATTGATACAAGTTTAAGGTCAATTAAAAAATTGGGAACAGTTAAAAAATGAGGTATTAATATTCAGTAAAGAAAAAGGCAAAGGTATATAAAATAAAAATGTTTGGTTACATTTATATGGGGTAGGTTATTGATACAAATTTAAGGTCAATTTTGTGAGTTATCTCTAAAAACTTTTGGCAAAAGCCTGGCCTTTCCACTTTGCATCTACAGAATTACAAGGAGTGGGTATGGCTGTAGCCCCTGAGTGTAGCTCAAAACTTCTCAAATGAAGAAATGATGAGGGACATACAGAACTTTTTCAACCTCTTGTTTTAATTCAAAGATTGACTGGAGTTGTTCTGTTAAAGAAGTTTCAGTTCAACAAACTAATCATAACCTAGGCAAAAGGAGAGATAGGTATGCATGGTCTGTGTGTATGGACATGGCCACGCCAGTATGTATGAAGTGTGAAATGTAAATGCGTGAATGTTGACAAAAGCAACTGTTCTAATTACCTTGGATATGATTAAAGGGATACTTAAATCCCTTCAAACAGTTAAAAACTACCTAAATCGATTTAGATATAGCCAAAAGAAACATCCAGTCAGTCGGTTAATATCTTAACAAAAAATTCAAGTTAAGCCCTCAGAGCCAGTCAATAAAAAGAGAGAGAGAGAGAGAGAGAGAGAGAGAGAGAGAGGGAGGGAGGGAGGGAGGGAGAGAGAGAGAGAGAGAGAGAGAGAGAGAGAGAGAGAGAGGGAGGGAGGGAGGGAGGGAGGGAGGGAGAGAGAGAGAGAGAGAGAGGGAGGGAGGGAGGGAAGGAGGGAGGGAGGGAGGGAGGGAGGGAGGGAGAGAGAGAGAGAGAGAGAGAGAGAGAGAGAGAGAGAGAGAGAGAGAGAGAGAGAGGAGAGAGGTTTTTTCAGGGAACTGCCCTGCTGCTTTGGCAGGCCCCCACCCCCAAAGGTGTCTGTGTAGATACAAATTAGGCCTTGTCAACTCAGATACAAATGAGGCCTTGTCAGCTAGTGAGAGCTACAGGTTAGGAAAAAAAGGGACTATTTGGGACATAGTATAGTTTACAATCCTTAAATGATTCTCAAAGGTACTTAATGGTTATGTCCCTTTTAAAGGACATCTACTAATAATTTAAATAGTGATCCCAATTCACCTAGATAGTTGACTAAGGAGGGTAGACAAATCCTTCTACTGTTATGGTCCAACTTCAACAGTTCATACAAAATTTAAAAAAATAAAAAAGGGGGAGTAATGTCCCCAGTCCCCACATGATTCATTGAATAATCCACTCCTCATTAAAAAAATTTTAAATGTAAATGCCAGTGAACAATCTACTTCAGACAGATTCTGGCATAATGGAACTTGAGCAACTATTGCTCAGGTCAAATGGAGACATCCATACACTAGACAGCGGAGAAGACCCTAATTTGGGGTCGAGGGCATGTTTGTGTTTTCTTACAGGAAAAGAATAAAGCTTCAGTAGCTGTCACAATATTTGGTGAGATGCATGGAGCAGAGAAAACTGGACCTGAGACCGTGCGAGCCTGCCCAAACCAGCCCGAGAAAGAAATAAAACAGTCAGTTTGAGATTTCCAGTTTCTCATCAGGCCTGCTACATCAACCTCCTGGACCCGTGAGTTTTCATCCCAAAGCCAACAAAACTGGGGACACCAGACCTTAAACAGAGACCCACTTCCCCTTTGGGCTGGGAGTAGGCAGCTGTAAGACAATGTTTACTGAAAACATGTTTACTGAAAACAATTCAGTGCCATAAAGCTCCAATAGGGCTCGCTCACTGAAACACCATGACTTTGATCCCTCCTACGGCTAGATACTTCTTCCTGCTCCCTGCTGTGTCTCCCCGATTCTGGGGCCAGAGATTAAACCACCAGCCAGGAGGGTGAGAAGTCTGTGAGAGGTGTGTGAGAGCTCGGTTGGAGAATTGTGTGTGTATGGATGGCAGAAGTCTTTAAAAAGGGAAGCGTTTTTTCTTGGGGAGTTCTCCTAAGCCGACTTGGGGAGCATAAAGTTTTCTTAAAGCAACTAACCGGTCTCTGTGTCATCTATCCCGACCACCTTGCTACATTCTCGGATGCAGGCTGATCAGCAGGTGTGACAGCTAGTCACAGCTACTATTCTCTCATATCTTAGCTAAGACATTTTAGGTAGAAGACTTATACTCCTCATGATAGGACAGCTGTTGGAATAATCTCTGTTACTTGCCTATTAACCTATTAGCCTACTTGATACAATTCCTGTTGGTTACAGTTCCACTTTTGTGCGTGTTGTTGCCCTTTCTTTCTCCTGTCCGACACCTGATTAATTGTTCTCATTTAACAGTTTTATATTCCTCTCCCCACGAGTCATTATCCTATGGACTCCTCCTCTTCCCTCTGAGTCCCCCTCCTATTTTCACTTCTTCTTTGGCTACCCAGTGAATTTCACTAGGGTGGCATTCAAGTGGGTACAGGGTTGGACACTTTACTGGTGACGACACCACTGAACAAAAATGTCTCCTTTTCTTCTATCAACCATTAACTGGCAATATATCCTCAGAGAGGGTCATTGTGCACACTCTCCACAGCTACCAACAACTGCCTCTAAATTCTCAGGGGGCGGTGGTGATGCCTCGGGATCTCCCTCCCCCACTCAGCTGATATTAATGGTCCTGTTCTGCACAGGTCTTGCCCGTGTGACCACAGCTTCTGTGAGTTTGTGATTGTTATTGCCACGCCATACCTGAAGTACAGCATTGCATAGCACTCCACCCCATCCCAAAACTCTTGCTTTCTTTCCGCCCCCTTTCCCTAAACCTTGGGGGAAAGTGTGATGCTTACGTCCTATTTAGGGTTGAGTGAACCTCTGATAGTCAGTTACTCCCTGTGACCTGTTATGAGTGTCTACACTGCCTAAGGAAAAAAATGAACTTCTCAGAATACAAAATTTCTGAACCAAAACAAAAGGAGAGATTTTTTTTTTACTTCATAGAACAATAGGAAGTGTATAAACAACAACAACAAAACAACAAACCCCCCAAACCAAGCAAGCAACTAACCAACCAACTAACCAACCAACTAACCAACCAACCAACCAACCAACCAACCAACCAATCAACCAACCAGCCAGCCAGCCAGCCAGCCAGCCAGCCTAACAAATGAATGAATGAATGAACGAAGTCTCAAAAAGTTGAATGTTCACTCTAAGAGCTAGACCCTGAACTTGCATTTCTCTGGCAGTTTATATCTTATGCTGCCCGTTTTGCTCATACTCATGATCCTTAACTGACCGGTACCCACTAGCCTGATACCCCATAGGCTCTGTTTTATTAGCGGCAGAATTGTGTCAGCTGGAACCAACCATCGGCTGGTGGGGCCCAGGCTCAGAGTGTCATCGTGCTGGAACCCCCAAGAGCAAACTGCTGGGTGACTGACAGCAGTGGGAATATCAACACCCACCAGGAGCATTCTGGGGAGTGTGTTCTCTGATGTTGTGTTGGACAGTTTTATGTCAAGTTGACACAAGCTAAAGTCATCTGAGAGGAGGGAACCTCAATCGAGGAAATGCCTCAGATCCTACTGTAGAACATTTTCTCAATTAGTGATTGATGGGGAGAACCCAGCCCATTTCGGGTGGTGCCTTCCTGGGCTGGTGGTCCTGGGTTCTATAAGAAAGCATGTTGCCAGGTGGTGGTGGTGCACACCTGTAATCCCAGCACTCAGGAGTCAGAGGCAGGCGGATCTCTGTGAGTTCGAGACCAGCCTGGTCTACAAAGTGAGTTCCAGGACAGGCTCAAAAACTACAAAGAAAAACCATGTCTCATCTCCTGCCACCCCACCAAACACACACACAAAAGAAAGCAGACTGAGCAAGCCATGGGGAGCTAGTCAGTAAGCGGCACCCTCCACGGCATCTGCATCAGCTCCTGACTCCAGGATTCTGCCCTGTGTGTGTTCCTGCCCTGACTTCCTTCGTTGATGAACAGTGATGCAGAAGTGTAAGCCAAAATAGATCCTTTCTCCCTCAACTTTCTTTGGTCATGGTGTTTCCTTGCTGAAGTGGTGATTCCGGGTAAAAGGATGCTTCCCTAAGTCCTGCCTTCCAGACACCAGGGTGAGAACACTGATTCTTGGCAGTTTACCTCCCCGCTCTATGCTCCCCAACTGGTCTATTGTGGAGTCATCTTTCTGATAAGCTGCTTTGAACAGGATGTTTGGTTTGTGTCAGGGCTTGCAACTAGGGGACCCCATGTATCACATGACTTGGCTTCTGCATTTCTGAGGTGGTGTTTGCACACCTGTTGGGGGCTGGGGTTAGACTGGAGTGGTTGCTGTGGGAGTAATCAGTGTGATGTGGTGTGGTATGGTGTGGTGTATATGTGTGTATTGTGTAGTGTGTGTGTGTGTGTGTGGTGTAGTCTGTGTGTTATATGAGGTTGACATAATGACGGAATAGAATTTTCTTGGCAGTAAGCCCATGGATCATGATGTGTGATGTAGCATGGCTGTGAAGGTGACTTTGAGAACTTGAAGGCTGGGGTTTGCTTTACTGTGGGCAGCACGGTTGGTGCAGTGGAAGAAGGGGTGGAGAGGTGGGAGATAAATGGGGGGGTGAAAAAAGAAAGAATAAAAGAGGGAAGGAGGGAGATGGTGACAGATGGGGCAGGGGGAGAGGAGGAGAGTAAGCAGAAGGGCAGGGAGGAGAGGGAGAAATGTGTGCACCAGTCAGATTTAAGGGAGAAATTAGGGGATTGCCAGGCTGTCCACCTCCGATGGTAGCAACTCAGCAGAAAGTTGTTGGGCCTCTGTCTGGCTGTGTTGAGCAACCCTGGCTCCACCCCTTCCCTTGTTCACAAAGCAAGCTTTTAAAGGGAAGGCTGTCTTCGTTGAATGACTGCCACAGTACGATGTGGGGCTTCTGGCTGCTCCTCTTCTGGGGTGAGTGTGAAGTTGAATGGGGCAAGGGAGAGATGGCTGAGGTGTGGGCTGGAAATGGGTGGCAGGGAGAAGGCACAGCCTTGGAGGGGTGCAGCCCATAGGCTACTGTCCCAGGTCTGTTGGACATGGCAAAGCCCTACCTTGGGAGACCTTTGACATAATTCCCGGACTCAGGGAAGCCCATCCACCAGGATAGATCTTCCTGGAGCTGTTCATTTAGTATGATGTGTTTGGAAGTCACCTCAGTTCTAGCTGAGTAAACACACGGGGCTCCCGGATGTTCATCCTGGTGGCCCAGGATGGTGCAAGGGCAGCAGAACCACACAGCTATGGCAACCATTCCTTTACCATTGCACAGGACTTCATCTGCATGAAGCCCTTATCAGCCTCATCTTGCAGAGCAGAACCAGGGAGGTGAAGGAGGTGACTTGCTGGGCTTGGGTAACAGCTCAGAGTGTAAAGCATCTGCTGTGCAAGCCGAAAGACCAGAGTTTGATCCCAGAATCTATGTTCAAAGCCAAGCATGCATGGCGCCGTAACTCTGTCTGTCTTCCTTCCTTCCTTTCTCTGTCTCTGTCTCTGTCTCCATCTCTGTCTCTCTCTCTCTCTTTCTCCCTTTCTCTCTGGTCTTTTTTTTTAAAATAGGGTTTCTCTGTGCAGCCCTGCCTGTCTTGGAACTTGCTCTGTAGACTAGGCTGGCCTTGGGACTCACAGAGACCTATCTGCTTCTGCCTCCTGAGTTCTGGGACTAAAGGCATGCATCACCACTGCTGGGGAAGCAGAGACAGGAGGATCCCTGGTTCTTGATGGCCAGCCAGCCTAGTCTACTTGGTTTACTCTAGGCCACTGAGATAGCCTGTCTCTAAACAATTAAGGTGGATGGAACCTGAGAAAAGATGTCTGAGGTCATCCTCTGGTCCGTATGTGCTTACAGACACACACACACACACACACACACACACACACACACAATACACGTGCAATATACACAAATAATGCATATGCAGACTCACAAATACAAAAAGAAATACTTTGAAGGAGAGTCAGCTAATGAGGGGTTGAACTAGGATGCAAAATCAGTCCAGCTCTGGTCTTGTTCAAGATGGGTAAAAGAATTCTAGGAGCATATGACTTCTATGAGAAACTGAGCTGTGACTGGGGTTGTGGGGAGTCAGGGAAGTTACGTCCTGTGCTGGGACCAGACCAGGAGGTGGGATGGGGGTACAGCTTCCCTTCCTGACTCCTGTTGCTTTAGTATCAGGCACCAGGGTGTCTCAATGCGTGTCTTCCACTTTGCTGTTTTTCTTGCATGCTTGCAAGATTTTTTTTGTTGGTTTAAATTTAAAGATGGGAGATATAGATTTTCTGTTTTAGAGGTGGGGAAACTGAGTTATGGAAAGTGAACAAAATACTACTGGCGAAGACATAATTTAAAAAACTGAAATATTTAAAAAATTGTGTGTGCGCGCCTGTGCACATGTGTGCACACACACGTGACTCTGGAGGTCAGAAGACAATTTTGGGTGTTGGCACACACCTTTTACCTTGCCAAGAAAGAAGTCTTGTGCACCAGGCTAGGTGGCTCTTGGGCTTCTGGGGATTGTGTGGTCTCTGCCTTGAATCTTGCTGTGGGCATGCTGGGATTAAAGACATGCACTGTGGCTACATTTTCATGCTTTCTAGAAATCTGAAATTAGCTCCCTGTGCTTGCATGGTCAGTGTCTTATCCACTGCATGGATATATGTCTGACTAATGTCATTCTAACAGCTCTCTATATTATCTGTCTGTCTATGTATGTATGTATGAGTGTACGTATGTATGTGTATATGTATGTATGTATGTATCTATCTATCTACTCATCATCCCCCTAATCTATCATCTATCAATTATCTATCTCTTACTTATCTTTCTATCATCTTTATGTATCATATATATCATCTCTCTATATTATTTATCTATCATCTATCTTCTATATCATCTCTCTATCATATATCTTTCTACATCTATCATCTGTCTCTCTATATCTTTCTACCTCTCTATTATTTCTCTGCGTCTATCATATATCTATCTACCAATTGATACATCAGTTGGCATGGTGCTTTCACAGCATCCATAAAACTGTGGATTTCTTCCCCAGCACCTCATTAAGTCTGGTATAAGTACACCCTTATGATCTCAGCATCATGGAGATTGAGGGAGGAGGATGGAAGGTTGAGATAATCTTCAGCTACATAGTGAGTCTGAGACCAGCCTGTGCTACATGAGACCCTATGTAAGGAAAAAAGACCTATGATGGCGATTATTCTCATGGCACCGATGGTGATAATGATGAAGGATGAAGATGGTCACAGTAACTACACAGGTTGTTATGATGGTAACCACACAGGTGATGATGATGGTGACTAGAGAAGTGGTAATGATGATGGTGGTGACTACACAGGTGGTGGTGATGATGGTGACTATACAGGTGCTAATGATGGCAGTGACTACACACATATCAATAGTGGTGGTGGTGATGGTGGTGACCACAAGCATATCAATGACTGTGGTGGTGACTACACAAACTATGAGGCAACTTAAAGGAATATTTTATCTCATAGTTGGTTATGGTGTGGTCTGCCATGTTGGGGAAGGACTGGCAGAGTTTATCGTTGGATTGTGGGGCTGGACTTCTTTCTTCTTGATAGAGTATAAAGCAAAGAGAAGCATGACTGGAATACAGATCTTAGGCCCTCTTCTAAGACCTCATCTCTAAACCTCCCCAAATAGCACTGTCATCTGGTGACCAAGGAGTTAAGTACATGGTTTTTGTAGGATAAATTTCACATACAAGCCACAGCAAACAGCTATCCAGCATGTTCACATATATCACATATACACGTATCTTAAACTCACAAGAACAATTGAGGCTCCCTCTTCTTGGATGACTCCATTGTGAGTCAAGTTGATGTAAGACTAGCCAGGACACACACACACACACACACACACACACACACACACACACACACACACACACACTTAAATTATATGTGTGTTTGTGTGTATGGGTGCATCATTGCAGGTGCCCATGGGAGCTAGAGGTTTCAGATTCCCTTAAATCCAGAGTTATAGGCACGGCTCTCCATCTCTCTCCCTCCTCTCCCCTTCCTTCCCTTGTTCTCTCTCATTCTCCCCTCCTCCCCCTCTCCCCTCCTCCTCCTCTCCTTCATTCCCTTCTGCTTCTCCTTTTTTTTCAATTGAGAAAATACCTCTCCAAGATTGGGCTGCAGACCAGCCTGTAGGGTATTCCCTAATTTGTGATTGATAGGGGGGAACATCCATCTCATTGTGGGTGGTGCCATCCCTGGGCTGTATAAAGTAGGCTGAGCAAGCCATGGGGAGAAATCCAGTAAGCAACACCCTCCATAATCTCTGTACCAGCTCCTGCCTATAGGTTCCTGCCCTGTGTGAATTCCCCCAACTCTCTTCGATGATGAACAGTGATATGGAAGAGTAAACCAAAGAAATCTTTTTTCCCCAACTCGCCTTTTGATCATGGCCTTTCACCACAGAAATAACAACCCCAACTAAGAAAATATATGATCTTAAAGCCAACCATCCCATTCTCCCATGAGATTTCAGCCCATAGCGATCAGTTTGATCCCAGGGGAAATAGAAGCTGGCTCTGTGTACTGTCTTCTTCAGTAGTTACTGAGCCAGAGTTGGGAGCTGGGGGTGGCTGGAGTGAAGCTGTGTCCTGGGAGCATGATTGCACTTAAGTTTACACAGCAGCTGTGGCCACCTGGACAAAACATGCGCAGGGTCAAGCCAGCCAGTGCTATAGTCTGGCCCCACCCCCCGCTGGATCTCCCGAGATCTCCAGATCTCCTGGCTGCCGGGAGGAGGGTCCACTTGCTTCAGGGATATACTCGGAAGGTTGCCCATGCTCTAGTGGATGGCCCTGTGCCCGGAAGGCTGCTCATGCTCTAGTGGAGGGCCCTATGCCCACATGCATCTAGAAAGCACTTAATAGAGTCAGTGGATTATTTTTTAAGTAGGGTGGTCACAGTGAGGAGAGGTCTGAGAGGAGTTGTAGAGTAGTATGGGGGTGCATATGATCAAAATTACTGCAAATATGTATGAAATCCTCAAAGAACAAATGACCATAGTGATATTTTAAGTTGGTCCTTGAGAAGGTGTTAAAATCTGGGTTCTGTTCCCAGCATCCACATGGCAGCTCACAAGCTCCTGTAACTCCAGTTCCAGGGGGTCCTTCTAAGATGAACACTGAACCCCTTAGAAAGAAAAACCCTGGGAAGGCAAAAACATAGACATCAGGAACCCTTTGTGAGGATTGTGTAAAATGACATGGCTTCTCCAGTGGGGTCCTGTCAAGCTTTGTCAAACTGCTTTACATGGGCTCAAACCATGCTTAATTTTGCTGGTTGAGCATGACAACTTATCAACAGTTCATGCCTTTTCCTCTCTCTCTTCACAGGCTGCAGTGGCGTACACAGATGGGGGATGACCACACTCCCCACACTGGGACAAAGTCTTGGAGGTAAGTTAGCATAAGAGAACAAATGACTGGACTGAATAGGATGCCTTTGGGAGAGTTCTCATATCCCAACAGTCGAGCCTCACACTCTGTGGGTCTGAGCCACAGGCAGAGCGATGGTCTGTACATCCCCTGGTTCCTGCTCTAGAACATCTTTGTGCTCTGAAGTCGCTGTGCAACCTCAGGCACGATACATAACCTCTCTAATCTTCATTTCTCTCAAGTGTGGGCTTTAGAGACCAATGTGTATATGTCACAGGGGGGTGTGTCTCTTCTGGTATAAGTATCCCTCCCCCATATTCTGAAGTCTTAATACAAATTCTCTTTTCTAGCTCTCTAATCCTTGTTTTCAAGATACTAATAGGGACATTAGGATGTATTCTTCTGCTCTGTAATTCTGGAATGCTATGATCAAACCTGGGCATTGGATGTGAGCTTGTTCTGGGTCTATATAATCTGGCTTCGACTGTAATAAGTATCAGAGTCCATCAATTTATAAGGAGAAGAGGTTTATTTTGACTTATATTGACAGGGATCCCTGTGTGTCGTTGGTTAATCCCAAAGCCAGTGGAACATCACTGTCTCTCTGCTTTTGGACTACAGATGGAAGGGGCCTCTCGTTCCTCTCATCATGTTACTACATGTGAGGTGTGTTGTCACAGTACCAAGAAAAGTAACTAAGGCAGGGATCTGAAACTCACCTAAAACATGGTGTTTGTGTTAATTCACTGAGGGTGTCATACAAGGACACCGCGTGTTTTGATCACACTCACCTCTCATTTTCCCTCTGTCTCCTCCCAGAACCGCCCTCACCCCTGCTTCCCAGCTCTATGCCCTCCTTTTAAAAGTGATTGGAATTTTAAGCCTTTTATTTAATATTAACACCCAAATTCCCTTTCCTCCAGCCCCTCCTTCATCTTCGTGACCACTTTTCCCCTCCGAACTTCATCTTCTCTGTTTTCCTTTTATTTTTATTTAAAAGTACTTAAAATTAAAATATAGCTACAATATTTTTCCCTTCTCCTCCCTCCCTTTGCCCTCTCCCCTGTCCCCTGCCACCACTTTTCACATTTCTGACCTTTTTCTTTAGTTGTTCTTGTGTTATTGGTACACATACACACACTCCTCCCCAAACATACCAACACAGGGACATATACACACACACAACCCCCCAACATGCAACACACATATATGTATACAACACACATGCACACATATACACATGCACACACATAACCCACATATACACACATACTCATATATACAAACACATACACAAATGCAGCTCCCCAAATACCAACACAACATACATATAGACACCACCCCCACATCCAGACATACCCCTATACACACACATGTGCACACAAATCCACATATACCTACATACCTGCCATATACATATACATACACTCACACACACACATCTTTCACATACCAAACACACACTTATAAACACACACCCTCTTATATTCACCCCCCCAACACACATACACACACACTTGCAGCCTTCTAATTCTATTTAGCTCTACTCGTATGAATATGATTTCAGGACTGACCATTTGGCACGGGATAACAAATTGGTTTTTTCCTCTGGGAAGAATGATTTTCCTTCCCTTCCCACATTCCTTGGTTGCCTGTGCGTCTTTAAGTAGGGGTGGGGGTCTGTGAGCCCCCTTTCTGCATTAGCAAGTCTACTGATGTCATCCTCGTTCAGTCATGCTCGGGCAGCTGTACTGCTGAGGTGACGTGGGGGAAGCGTCTCTGCCACTTCCTGGAGACGGGGTCTCTCATCAGACTTCCCAGTCCCTGGCTCTGGCAGTCTCTCTGCTCTGCCTTCTTTGGTGTTTCCTGAGCCTGAGGTACAGGAGTTGTGACGTAGACATAGCCTCAGGGGCCGGGATCCTCTCCATGTTCGGTTAGCTATGCCTGCATTTTGACCTACTGTGCTGTGGTTTTCTGCAACCGTCTTCCTCTGCTTCAAAGAGACACTTCTTGAGGAGGGGGGAGAGCTACACTGATCTGTGGGTATAAGGATGTGTTTTCAGAATGTAGTTAGAAATTACCCTAGTTCAGTAAAGTGGCAGTTAACAGGCTCTCCTTTAAGATCCATGACTTCACTGGCCCTTGGTAGTTGGCTGGGTTTCCAGGCAAGAGTTTCCTCCCGTTGAGTGGGCCTTAAGTCAGTTAGATGGCCGTTGGTTACCTCTGTGATATGAGTGCCACTGATGCACCTTTAGGGACATCTTGTCATTGGGGAGCATTGTCAGCTCAGGTGGGACAGCTTTACTTCATATGTATATAAATAACGTAAATGCACACATGCATATATACTTATATATGTATTATATATAATTTTAGGTAAACATAAAATAACGATTCTTTATGGCGTTTCCAAAAGTCCTTGGTCTACTTAACCCTCTCTCTCTCTCTCTCTCTCTCTCTCTCTCTCTCTCTCTCTCTCTCTCTCTCTCTGTGTGTGTGTGTGTGTGTGTGTGTGTGAGAGAGAGAGAGAGAGAGAGAGAGAGAGAGAGAGAGAGAGAGAGAGAGAGACTATATAGTCCAGACTGGCCTTGAACTTGTGAGCTTGTGGCTTGGATTGCAGGCTCACACTTCCACAATCAGTGTTAGTTGACCTTCTAACAGTAAAGATCCATGTGCTCCATTGGCTGTGGGTGCTAACAGAAAGTACAGGGACTAGAGAACAAAGGCTCCGGGAAGAGTCACAAAATTAGTCTTACACATCCCCTGATTTGTACAGTGTCTGTCTCCCAAGACTTGAATTTGATCCAGTAGCTATTGCTTTTACTGTGGTAAACTTTAACTCATCAAAACTTACAATTTTATTAGATTTTTATTTACTCATGTATGCATATGCATGTGCACCCCAGGAGAGTGGATTCTCAGCCTCCACCACACTGGCCTGGGATTGGATTTGGGTAATAAGGTTTGGGGGATCACATTTACCTGCTGAGACATTTATTTATTTATTATTTAATTAAAAAATTCTTTGGCAAATTTCTCATGTCCAAACAATCAAGTGCGATCATTTCCACCCCCACTTTCCCTTAACACCCCTCAATGCCATGTGCTCTCATTTTAAAAATAACCCTCTAGGTACAGTGAGGCTCTCAGGTAGTCCAACCTGGCCTTGCATTCACTATACAGCCAATTTTTTAAATTCATTTTTTGAATGCTCCTGTCTTCACCTTACAAGCACTGGATTGGCAGGAGGGAGCCATCAGATCCTCCTCTCATTTATTTTCTTCTTGGAATTATTTATGTCCTTTAAAAAAAGATGTGTCACCTGTTTCTTACAAGACTTTAAGAAAGGCCATCTGTTGAAGGTGCTTGGCAGGCATCCAGCCTCCCAGGACAGGGTTCTTATTCCGGTTTTGGAAGGACTTGAAGTTTGAGAGGTTTAAATAGAGGGCCCCAAAGAAAAAATACAAAAAGACAGAGGGTCCCGAAGTGTGCAATGTGAACATTGCAAAGAAAGAGGAAACTGGAGAGAGATCTGAGGTCCCTCCCCATGTGTGGGTGTGGAGCCTGGGTAGACTACAGAAGCTGGCTCTCAGGCAGTGTGGCAAGAACACAAATGAGAAATGTAAGAGCAGCGACTGTCTGTCTTTGAGGTTTAGGGACTCACAGGGTCTCACTCTCCCATTTGATGTCTGCCTGCATCATCATCGCTCTTTAATGCTTTTTATTAGCCTGTAGAGTCATACAGAGTCATGGGTTTTGCTATGACATTTTCTTGCATGTATTTTCACCCCTACTGCCGGCTTTGTGCCCCACCCTTTACTTCCTCTGATCGCTCTCTTCTAAGCTAAAAATATCAGTAGTATTCCTATACCAATGATGCAGATGCTGAGAAAGAAATCAGGGAACGAAACCCACTCACAATAGCTCCAAACCAAACCAAATCAAACAGAACATACACAAGAGCACAGACACATACCCATTTGCACACACACATACATAAACATACACACATGAACACATATGTACACATGCACACATATGTACATGTACACATACATAGATGCACACAGAGACACAACACAGAGGGACATACACAAACACACACAGACACACATAGGCATACAAACACACACACACACACACAGGCACATACACACATGTGCACAGACAGACAAAATACCAACCTGGGAATAAACCTAACCAACAAGGGAACAGTCTACCCTGACAGTTATAAAACACTGAAGGAGGGTTGGGCAGTGGTGGCACATACTCTTAGTTCCAGCACTCGGGAGGCAGAGGCTCTTCCCATTTCTGCCTGGATTATACTGAACATGCACTCACAGGCATAGGGCAAATCACTCCACGCTTGGCCACCTTGCTTCTGAATCTCTGAAGCTCATGGCTCTGTTGGCTGCTGGAAGGGTTGTTAACATGGTCACCGTGCTCTACCCAAACCCCTGCCATGGCTCCCATCACTCAGCTGATTAGCTGCTTCTCCCTTGGCTGTGACCTCATACCCAGTGAGAAGCAACCCGAGAGAGGGACAATTGACTTTGGCTCCTGGCTTGAAGAGGGAAAGGTGTGGTGGCAGCTGACCACATCACATCTGGGCTAAGGAAGTGGGATGAGGTTGGGATGGCACTCTGCTCTGTCTGGGTCTCCAGCTGATGCGGTGGTGACCTGCTTCATGCAGAGATGTGTCTCCCAGGTGACTCTAGATTCAGTCAAAGTGGCAATGAAGATGAATCACCACACTCATTTACATACAAAAAGTCAGAATCATGCAGTGACTTAGGGAGACCTCTGTGACCTGACTGTGGGTCTCCTCTGCCCTCCCCTCCTCCTCTTCCCTTCATTCATTCAGGCCTCAAATTTGCACTGATGTTCTTGCTACCTGTAGGATCAGGAACAGTTCTGATTCAGGGCCTTTGCATTTATTATTTTCACTTGTATGTCTCTGTGACTCATCTTTAAAGAAATACTACCATGTTATCTATCATCTATCTATCTATCTATCTATC